ATGTAGCTGATGTTTATGATTTATAATTCTTATTTTGATTATCTGAAATATTATGATATTATTACACATGATTAGTTGCATTGATTGATTGCTCCATGTTGTGATTGAGAATCATTAGGAGTTTATGACTATAGTGACCTGTATGACACAGTTAGGATCTAGAACACCGTGTGTAGTTGACCTGGAATTACGAGAATTGGGATGAGAAGTCTTGGTCCATGTGAGCGGTTGTGATTGTTGATGTATATTCCGGGCTCGCGCTGGTGAAGTTTGTGTAGTCACTGGGGTGGGTCCGAGGAGTTGTGATATTGTGATTGTAGTTATTTTCCAGGCTCGCGCCAGTGTCTTGTTTCGGCCAGGGGTGGGTCTGAGGTGTGCGGTGTTATCGAGATTATTATTTGTTTTCCAGGCTCGCGCCAGCGTCTTGTTTCGGCCTGGGGTGGGTCTGAGGAGTAGTGGTATTGTGATTATTGATTATTTCCAGGAACGCACCAGTGAATCGTTTCGCACTGGGGCGGGTCTGAGGTACTAGTGAGATGTGGTTAACCAGATTATCTATAATTTGAGACATATGGTATATACATGAGGGTTTCCTTGTTTGGATTATTTCGCTCGACGTACTACGTCTCTTGTTGTAGATTTTTAAGTATTAATTCCATCTAGTGTATGCCCTTATGATTTGGATGATTAGACTGATCGCTAGCTGCATGATTCGTTACCTGATCGATTCTGGATGCTTATTGTTATCATAATTTAGTAGTGTTTTCATGTTGATTTGTGGATTTCAATTGTACATTCTTTTGTTGTTTCTGTTATCGTATCGACTTTCGCATTGGATTTCCGTTCGTTCTATTTTCTTTGTGGGGTCGGGTCTTGCCGTGCGCTATGCACCTGACGTACACCTGTTTTCGTTCGTTCTATTTTCTTTGTGGGGTCGGGTCTTGCCGTGCGCTATGCACCTGACGTACACCTGTTTTCTTTGATGTACGTCAGACTTAGGAGAAGAACAGGTTCAGCTAGGAGATCTCCAGGAGCCAGAAGATTCCCAGCAGGAGTGCCTTGTAGACGAAGCAGAAGAAGAAGCCGAAGTCTAGTCGTCTTTTTATTATCTGTTGGTCCTTAGTTTACCTTGTAGCATTTCCTTTTTCCGCTTGATCATTGTATTTTATATTCTTTAGTATTCATTTGTTCAATTTTGTATAAGGGCATGTTTGACCCGTATTTTGATGTCTCGGATGATATTTCTTTTATGATATGGATTATTTCAGTTCTGGGTTGTTCATTATATTCTTGCTATCTGTGATCGGGGACCTGTACCTTGGTGTTGGTCATGAACACTTCCCGAGCTTCGCCTATGCTAGACGTTGTATCGTCAGAGGCGATTGCGGAATAAGAATCCGAGAGTTCGTCATCGGAATGGATTCCTTCGTAGATCCCCGGGTAATCGTTATGTCCAACGACTTCTAGCTGAAGCTGAGATATTCGTTGGGTTATTCCCGAACCGACTCTTCTTCCTGGAGAGAAATTAGGGTTGGAACCACTTGAAACAATCGGAGATTTTCCCTTATTGACCATGTTGATGGTAACTTCTGGGAATTCATCATCTCGATCAACCGATCCTCTTTGGTGGAAACACATTGATTTGGGCTTCGTCGTTCCATCGGAGATCCTCTCGAATATCGAGACCCTCTGTGGAGCGGTCTTGGGACAGCTACATGCTGATAATTCTGCCCTAATAATTTTGATACACGGACAGTGAGAGTCCGCTTCCCGGGTACTTCTCTTTTGAGATTTATTCGTACCCCCAGCCCGATAGTACAACTCATCGACGTTGCGGTCAGAGCAACTTATCGGCTGTTTACATAAATTCTCAGGTATAACGCGTTCGTCTGTCTGACGCGTTTTCCTCTGAGTAAACATTGCCTTGTTGGCATCTACAGGAGTCACACGTTTGGAATCACACCCTTGTGAGGGCGAAACCTTAACGGGCTCCTGGTTTTCTGCACGCACCGCCAAGCGGGCCGTTGTTCGAATCAATTTGTTAGGAGGTTGCGTACGACCCCCAGTCCGGATGTTTGCTCGGGGTTCCTTCAATGGTCCCAAGCGCTCTTTAATAGGTGCTTTGCCTTGATCCTCGTGCAAAAGACCCAGGCGTTCCGCTATCACTTTCCTGCCTCTGGATATGTCCATATTGTTGCGGAGCTTCACCGGAGGTACGAGATTAAAAGGAACGAGATCTGAACTCGACGAAAGCTGGAAACCAGCTTTGGATCTCGACTCAACCGAGAGACACAACTGATGTCTTTTATTGGGTAGGGACGCTGACTTAGCCTTCGGCACCCAAACTTGTTTGGATCTCGGCGATCTCTTAACTGACTCTTTCTTTTGCATTTCCTGTGCTTTTCGCACAAGGGTCCGGGCATGCGCAAGCAAGGCGCGGCGCTTCTGGATTCGCTCCTCGAGAGTTGAGCGGGTTCTTTTAACACGAACCCATTCGTTAATTGGAGATCGAGAGGAGGATTCCGATGCTGGTCGTAGCAACAGATTAGCCACTTGGCGCTTTCTGAACTCCAGATCTGCTTGGTAATGGAGTCCATCCACCTGATCCAAAGCCTTGGCGAATTGGTGTGCGAGGCGTTGTCGTTTCCTTTGATGTGCTCTCTTTGATAGAGTTGGCGCGCCTTCAGCAGTCGGCTTCTTGATCGCGAAGGAGTTCAGATCTGTAGATCTGGTCTCATCGGATGCCGGCGGATCGTTGTAAAGTGCAACTGTAGCATCGACTACGGGGAGATTGATTTCTCGGATCTTCACGGCAACGAAGCTGTTGGCTCCCACTGTGGTCGCCAGTTTGTTTGCGGAGAAAGTTACTTGTTTCATTGCGAGATTCATTACAAACTTCAGACGTTTACAACGAATACAAAAATCAGTCTTTTTATAAGACTTTTACACAATGAAAACAAAAAAAAGTTTACAACTTTATCAAACAAACGCAGAGATCGTTTATCGGCATTCTGCTTGCGTGGGATCTTTGCATGTGCCGGGGTTTATCCATGGACCACCGTCGATCAGATCTGATTGCTGAAAAATTGGGCAGAGCTTCGTCACCGTCGATCAGATCTGATTGCTGAAAAATTGGGCAGAGCTTCGTCTATCCGCGAAGGGATCGAAAAACCGTAGCTCTTATCTCGGCGAAGCGAGATAATCACTCTTCTTAAGATTACCACAACGGGATAATCTTAAGGAACGAACCCGGGGAACTGCAGATATGAAGAATCTCTCTCTCTTGCGTTGAAGAACTCGATCTGATCTCTCCTCCTCCTCTCTGAAATCCGTGCACCTTCAATCTTCAATCCGGCAGGGCTTCGCCTAATCTCCAAAATTCCAGATCTCCAAAAAGTGAGGGTCTGAGGCTTGTATTTATAGGCACAGGACAAAAACAGCTTGGAGACACCCCATGGTGTCTCAAACTGGGCCGAGACACCCTAGGGTGTCTCAACTTGGGCCGAGACACCCTATGGTGTCTCAACTTGGGCCGAGACACCCTATGGTGTCTCGGCCTTGGCCGAGACACCCAAGGGTGTCTCAGCCTTGGCTGAGACACCGTAGGTGTCTCAGTTTAGCCTGAGACGCTCGTTATGCCTATTTGATTGTTTCCGCCGTAAATTCTTCGTCCGAACTTGGATTTGAGTGATTCCAAGTGCGTTGGAAAGCTGACGAAGAGTTCTATAAGCTCCAATGATTAGATCATCTGTGGAATAAATGAGACACGAAGGGCATTTCGCCATTTGTGAACGATACGAGGTCCCCGATCAGTTCGTATCTTCATCATTCCGAAGTTCCGTTGTTTCACGTAGTTTGTCGGTTTACTTCAAGCGTTCACCGACATCAATCAAGCTTCTGTGAACCAGATGGTGACGTTCATCGTCTTCTCTTAGCTTTGAGCTGTTCGTGGAGACCTATAGGCAATTTTCGACAGTGTGTAACTTCAGTTGGCCTTCACGAGTAGAAGATGAAGGCGGAGCCACACTACGAGGATCGGCGAGATCGTCGGGATATTGTTGATTGAAGAAAGGATTTTTCCAAGGAGGAGAAGATACATGCGAAGAATGAGAGAGTTTGAGTGAACTCACTGATGGAACTTTGGTCTCCAAGTGGGAGATTGTTAGTCTAAAGTGTAGACCCAAAGTTGAAGCTGAAGCTGGAATCACGAAGAACACAGTCCAAAAAGTCCAGGAGAACTGTCAGTCAGCCTGGCGGTCGACCGCAAACGTGCACAGGAGTCAAGGACAGGCTGGAGTTGAAGGCGGTCAACCGCGACGGTCGACCGCACCAACCCTGTAATGTTTTCTGCTCTAGGGTTTTGGTTCGGTCGACCGCCATGGTCGACCGCGATACCTGCGCGGTCGACCGTCATGGTCGACCGCGACGCTGTTTGCCAGATTCCTTATGAGTTCAGGAAATCTGTTTGAGCTGGATTTGATATAAATACTCAAACGTTTTTAGGGTTTGTTAAGCATCAGAAAATCGTCAAAAGAGAGTTTTTAACAGAGAGATCTCAGAGAGATAAAACCCTAGTTTGAGAGCTTGTATTTCTTCTTCAATCAATAAAAAAATGTGTGGTGTGGCTCCCGAGGACGTAGGCACGTTGCCGAACCTCGTTAAATCTGTGTGTTCGTCTCTTTTATTATTCCTGCAATTTTTGATCTTTATTCTTGGTGAATTTTCCTACTTTTCTACTTTCAACACAAAGTCCGGAAGGGCAAGGGTTCGATTTGATTGTTTCGAATCCCCAACACTCCGCTATTCAAAACTTCAGCGCACACTCCTTTTTCACTTCATGCCCTTCGTTATGCAGCCACAAGCCATCCGAGGTCTTATTCTTTGGAATTATACATCAGGCTTAGAAATATATATACGTTTCCTCTTCCATAAATCATTACTTGCTAATTTAGAACATGGGACTTCAAAGGATATAAACGTAACATGCATTTGGTTTCCTCTCACCCAGAACACAAAAATCAGGTATATTTCAACTTGTTCCTGTACTGTCCCCTCGATAGACACTCTCTAAAGCTTCCTTAGCTCTGTGAACCTTTGATTGAAGATAGAAGCTTCCATTCTTAGCATTCCGTTCGAACAATGCATCATATTTCTGCATGTAGTAAGACTTTTCAGACATCAGATGCACGAAAATCACTAAACTCTGTATGCACATTAGAAATAAACCGACTATAAGACTTCAGAACAAGTTAACTTAAATATTCCCAGGAAAAGTGAGAACTCTCCAAAATCATTAATGGGAAGTTCTCCTAAGATTCCAATTTTTAAATTTTCTTGCACCATTTCCTACCAGCAAATTCTATAACTATAAGCTCCCAACAAATCATAGCAAAGAATGCAATTGACATCAATTCTTAAAATTTTTCCATCCAGATACAACGTAAGGAAATAGAAATGGAGAGTGTATAATTGAAGAATAAATGAATAACATAACGAAAGAAAATAGAGAACTGAAGGATAAATATCTAACATAAAAGAAAAAGGAAATATCAAAACCAAAGGTAAATTACCCGCAAAACTTCTTCCCATGATGCCTGCTCGCTCAGTCCTAAAATATGACTAGCTTCTTGTTCTGTCATAATGTTTGTGGGAAAATTTGCAGTAAAAGAAATAAAAGAAAATTGATTTGTATTCTTTTAATCTCAGTTACAATTGGATTTCCTGATTACAAAAGAGAAGAGAATGATCTGGATTCTCCCCTTTGTTTAAATCTGGGTTCTTCACGGTGGCGATGAGATGCCTCCCTCGAATGCTCGCGTCGAGTTTGCTTCTCGTTGACGATCCGATGTCTTGTTTCACTGGAACGTGGTCTTCTCCTCACGATTTGACGTTGTGGAGAACTCTGAACGAGTTTGAAACTCTATGAAAGAGTTGATTTAACCGAAAGTCGGTTATAAGCCAATGATGAAGAAGATCTTGTTGCCGATCTCTAAAGCTCCAGAAATGCTCTAAGGATCCTGTTGACGAGCCAAGAAGTTCCAACCGACCGACCCCTGAACTGAATTGATTTTCAGTTATTTATAGGGGATTAAGGGGTGTAACCACCTCCTTAATTCGCTCCTAAGTAGGGCTAATGGGATGTAACCGCACCTTAAATCACTCCTGAGTGGAGTTATGATCCCCTCAGATCATGGAAAACGGTTTTGAAACTGTTCAGCTCGTGTTTGAACGAGTCAAACGCAAAATCCGCATTCTGGTGTGAATTCTGCGTTCAAACGCAGTGTCTGGAAGCTTGAACGCAGTGTCTGAAAGCTCGGACGCAGCGGCTGGAAACTGCGTTGGCATCTTGTTGGAAGCTGCGTTTGGCGGCTTGGAAGCTGCATTTGGTAGCGGATAGAAGCAGCGTTGGTTGCGTTTGGCAGCGGATCTGAGCTGCATTTGCAGCGATTTGGAAGCTGCGTTGGCAGCATTGGGAGCTGCGTTTGACCTGCGTTCGTGGCTATGAACATGAGCTGCGTTTGCAGCTTTTAGAGCTGCGTTCGTGGCTATGAACGCGGCGCATCTTGATGCTGGTACGCGGGGAGGACTTCCACGTCTTGATTTGAAGAGACCGTCGATTTGTAGTCTCTTTCTGTCGAAGTGTTGTAAAGATCGTCATTTTGTAATCTTATATGGGAGTCGTCAGATTGTAACTCCCGATGTTGATTGTGGAGGCTGTTGATTAGAGCTTTCATCAATTGTTGTGAAGGTCGTCAGATTGTAACCTTCATCGATCTACGTGAAAGTCTTCAAATTGTACCCTTCTGGAAGTCGTCAGATTGTAACTTCCATCATCGGTGTTTGATGGGGATCAGCTATCTATTGTGATTTTTAGACAGCCTACACATAACTTTACTCGATCTTCGGATATTGTTCTGTCAAAGTCAAGAAGCCGCCACCAATTAGCAAAGAACCAATATGCATTCTGCAAGGAGCAGGGACATTGGAAGAGAGACTGCCCGAAGCTCAAGGAGAAAGAGAATGGCAAGAAAATGGCCCAAAGGCCAATGAGGTGAATATTGCGAAAGGCGATGATTCCGATGATTCGTGCTTTTCTCTACTGATTACTCCGGAGGCGAACCATGTGAATGCATTAGATTGGATGCTTGATTTCGGCGCTACTTATCATGTGACCCCTAGGCGAGATTGGTTTGCATCTTTTGAGAAAGTCGACGGGGGTGTTGTTGTCATGGGAAATGATCAATCCTGTAGCATTTGTGGGATAGGTACCTGCGGATTAGGATGCACGATGGAGTAGTCCGTGAGTTGAAGGAGGTGAGATTTGTTCCTCAACTGAAGAAAAATCTTATCTCAGCTGGAGCTTTGGAGGCGAAGGGATTCAAGATGACTTTCGAAAACGCTGCAGCGAAGGTTCCTAAGGGACCATTGGTGGTGATGAAGGGAGTCCGCAATCGGAATTTATATTATCTGAAGGGAAGCACCGAGATTGGCCAGGTTGCTTCGGTTATTTCAGAAACGGACATGAGCAGACTTTGGCACTATAGGTTGGGGCACACAGGTAAAAAGTCACTGCAGGCATTATGCAAGCAGGGGCTATTGAAGGGAGCCAAGAGTGGGAAGATTGAATTCTGTGAGCACTGTGTTCTTGGCAAGAAGACGAAGGTAAAGTTCGGGACTGCCATTCATCAGACGAGGGGTATCCTGGACTACGTGCACACAGACGTTTGGGGTCCCAGACATTGGTTCGTCACGTTCGTTGATGACTATTCTAGGCGTTGTTGGGTGTACACCATGACGAAGAAGAGTGAAGTCCTAGATATATTTGTGGAGTGGAAAAAAAGATTGGAATTGCAGACTGGGAGAAAGATCAAGACGTTGCGATCCGAAATGGTGGTGAGTATACTTCTGACCCCTTTTTGCAGCTATGTCGAGACGAGGGCATAGAGAGGCACTTCACGGTTAGTCAAACACCACAGCAGAATGGGATGTCAGAGAGATTAAATCGGTCTTTACTGGAGAAGATCCGATGCTTATTGTCGCAGAGTGGTTTGGAGAAGATCTTTTAGGTTGAGGCACTTACATATGCGAACCACCTCATTAATAGGCTGCATTCATCTATGATTGAGGGGAAGACCCAAATGGAGAAGTGGTCGGGAGAGCCAGCACACGACTATGACAAGCTTAATGTATTCGGGTGCCCTGCATTTTATCATGTGAGAACTGATAAGTTGGAACCTCGAGCTAGGAAGGTCATATTTGTAGGATTCAAGCGTGATGTCAAGGGATACAAGCTTTGGGATCCAGTTGATAAGAAGATTGTGCTGAGTAGGGACGTCACGTTTGATGAGGCTTCTATCTTGAAGCTTCCAAACTCTCATCAGGTGGAGAGCGACCCGACGGAGGAGATATCGCAGGTGGTGGAGATCGATGCAGCTCCACATTGCCCAGATGGTACAGTATCCATTAGAGTGCCGACTGAGGTGACGCCAGGCGAGCACGATGGTGACACGGAGAATACGAGTACATGTATGTTGGAAAAATTGCAATGAAAAGAATAAAGAAAATTAACTTGTATTTCTTTGATTCCGATTACAACTTGATTACAAAAGAGAAGAGAACGAATTTGATTCTCTCCTTTATTTAAAACTGGGTTCTTCTCGGTAGCGATGGAATGCCTCCTTCGATTGCTCGCGTCGAATTTGCTCTCCGTTGACGATCCGACCGTCTCTTATCTCGTGGGAACGATGAATTTCTGTGGAAAGTTTGATGTTTAACTCTGAATGAGTTTAAGAACTCTGAACGAGTTAGAACTCTGTGAATAGAGTTGTTAGAACCAAGAATTTGGTTAATGATTAAGCCGTTATTCTATTGTTAAAGAATCCTCCCAGATTTGATCTTCTGAGCTTGATTCAAAAATCCTATCTCCAAGGATTTCGCTGCTGTTGTTGAATCGCCAAACCTGAGTGGTTGAGATCTTCCAAATCCGATCTTTGCTAACTCTTCTGTTTTTCAAAGAGCCAGCCGCCAGCCCTTATCTGTTTTAGAACTGATAAATCTCCAACCTGTACGGTTTAGATCTTTAGAATCCAACCTGTGTGGTTCAGATGCCAAAAATCCAACCCTTTGCTCTGTTAGGTTCATTGAGCTTTTATAGGGGGATAGGAGGTTGTAACTGACCCCTATATCCGCTCTTACGTGGGCGAAAATCCCTCAGAACGTGGGATAAACGGTTCTGAAACCGTTCGACTCATGTTTGAACGAGTCAAACGCCCAATCTGGCGTTTAGCACCCAACTTCGCCTCTTAGAATTGAGACGCGAGGTTGGGTGTTAGCTGAACATCATTGAACGCGAGGGTCGCTCGCGTTTTGGCTTGTTGCCTGCTTGGAAACGCGGGGGTCGGCGTTGGTTGGACCCCTACGAACGCGAGGGTCGCCCGCGTTCAGCTTGCTGCTTTGAGACGCGGGGGTCGGCGTTGGTTGAACCCCTACGAATGCGAGGGTCACTCACGTTTGGCCTGTGGCTTGGAAACGCGGGGGTTGCCTGCATTTCCAGAGTTGTAACGCGGGGATGACATCCGCGTTTCAGAAGGAGCTTTTTGACTTGTAACTTCTTCTGTGAAGCGTTGCGAGGACCGTTGTTCAGTAATCCTGGCTTTAGCTGTTGTAGGGTATGAAAGTCGTCAGATTGTAACTTTCACCGTAGATTGTGAAGACTGCTGAATAGAGTTTTTATCAGTTGTCGGAAGTGTCGTTGAATTGTAACTCTTCTCGATCTATGTGAAAAGTCCTCTATTTGCCGCTTTCGATTGTCGACCCGAAAGCTATTTGATTGTAGCTTTCATTGTGAGAGCTTGACGGGAATCAACATCCATAGTGTTTTAAAGATGGATATTTGCCCACAGCTCTCTACCAAGCAACTCACCAACTTTCGATTGTCGGCGCGAAAGTTATTTGATTGTAGCTTTCGTTGTAGGAACTTGACGGGAATCAACATCCATAGTGTCTTTAGATGGATATTTGCCTACAGCTCTCTACCAAGCAACTCACCAACTTTCGATTGTCGGCGCGAAAGCTATTTGATTGTAACTTTCGTTGTACGAACTTGACGGGAATCAACATCCATAGTGTCTTTAGATGGATATTTGCCCACAACTCTCTACCAAGCAACTCACCAACTTTCGTTTGTCGGCGCGAAAGCTATTTGATTGTAGCTTTCGTTGTAGGAACTTGACGGGAATCAACATCCATAGTGTCTTTAGATGGATATTTGCCCACAGCTCTCTACCAAGCAACTCACCAACTAAGTCCAACCTTTCATTTCTAAAATCATTACACTGCTCATCAGCATCTCCAATAATTGCTAATATAATATTAGTCGTGCTGTTGTCGCAGCCATCAAGATCAATCATCTCAGAAATGAGGTCGTGTTTGTGGCGATTGTGGAGTTGCGGATGCAGTGATTAGAAAGTCGTCTGATTGTGACTTCCCTTGTCGGAGTTTGATAGGGGTCAGCTATTCATTGTGATTTTTAGACAGCCTACAGAACCCCCTCTAAAGTTTTCGAAAGTTCGCGGTTGACTGGGACGAATTTTCGGAATACTTTGGATCCTAAAATTTAGTGGATTGATTGCTCCCTCCGTCTGATC